TTTGGAGCTGGGCAATTGCTGCCTGTTGGGCCTGCAGTATTTCGAAGATCACTTGCAGGCTGATCCTCCCATATTCATCGTTGTGTGTGTTCTGAGTAGTTGATCGGGTACCCCCACGAATGCTACTTTTGGGATCGATGGCCAAATTTCCACTGATGGCTACATGCGAACTGATATCGATTAGATCTACAGCCGAAATTCCATCTTCGAGGCCAGCAGGGTGCGCAATGTTTCCTGGTGCAATTTTCTCATTTTCGCCGTGGTGGCTGAGATCATTGTCAATGTGTTGAGGTGCTAACTAAGAGTTCGACATTTTTTAATCATGTAATCAAAGATACTTCCAAGAACAAGTGTAAAATAGTATGTGTTACAAAAATTTGTACCAGACAATCACTATTATCATTAGCCACACGGTGGGCGCCAAACTGTTTACCCTAAAAATGAATAACAATTGAATTTATATTGTGGTTTTAAGGACACGTGATTTTACTTGGTACAAACTGAGAAAAACACAATATTGATATTGAAATTAACTAAAAATATGAATAAAGCAAACCCAATGAGATATGCAGTTTTGGCCCTCGAGACTGGTCACCCTCGAACCAAAGGAACAAGCAAAGCGATATATGAAATAAATAACAGAGTATTGAGAGCTTAGAGAGCTTAAAGAATAGTATATTGCTTTGAATGGCGTGAAGATCATGTCCTTTATAATTGATCAGACCCCTTTTATATAGTAGGGGAGTCCTACCTTTAGTACAATTCTAAATACAATAAGAAATCCAATGATTAGCTAATTAATCGGCCTCTTCTTCATACGTGCCGAAATTCCGCTGTGATCCTCGCCCAATCACGAATATTTTGGATTTTCGTTATTTATTTCGGTAAACTTGTCCTGATATAGCTCGAACTCTATCCCGCTCGATCTCGGTTGATCTTGATCTCGATCTCGATCGGTCGTTAAATCACGAGCTTGGCAACCTAACCTCATGTCACACTCTGGTATGATATGGGGTCGAACCTCGGCTTGCAACGCCCCGGTCTCGATTTGTCATAAAAAAGGGCAAGCCCGATTTTGACCGTATTCGCTCTTAACTTTTCATAATTTGTGATCCAGAAGTCAGGAAGGATTTTGGCGAGCTCAACTCTAGAAATTTATCTGGATATTTGAGTGCACATGGTATTTTTTGGTAGCATCAATATTTAAGAGCATGCATTTTCTCCTCCAGGAATGCAAAGATCCATGGCATGATTTTGGGCGCGCCACGCCATTTTCTCCTTCAGAACCCTTTATCGAACTTTGATTTTTATATTTATATTTATAAATTGAATTCTATTAACATAGCTCAGAACCTTAGCTTAGTGATCAAGGGGTTCATATTTTCTCCAACATTGCTAGAACAAATCCCACTCGATGCAGTATTTTTCATTTTTAAAGCGTTGGTCGTTCCCCCACAACTTTTAATGCATAGGATAAAAAGTTACTCCATCCGGTCCAAAATAAGTGATTTTTTAGTTGTTTTCACACAGATTAAGAAATCCATCTTTTAATATTAATTAGCAATGAAATTGACCATATTAACCTTTACTATCTCTTCACGTAACCACTCCTAACGCATACTACAACACTATTTACTCCAGGGGTAGGAAAAAATAATTAATTCATTCGTGAAATCTAGAAAAATCACTTATTTTGGACCACAAAAAAGGTTAAAAAATCACTTATTTTGGACCGGAGGGAGTATTAAATTCCAATTTTCCATATTTCTATCCTAGTATTAGTAAATGTAAGCCCAAGTAGTTGCTTTTCTTTCTTCCATGCTTAACTGTTGCAAAAATCGGTGCACCAAATTCACATAACATTATCAAAGAACCTGAAGCACACAAACTATTCTAAATACAAGGCACCCTCCGATTCAACAAAGTGCTTTGGACATCCCAAAAGAAGATATGAATTCCATCAATATTTAAAATCCCTTTGTATCCCACAGTTGGCCATCTTCAAATATAATATGTCTTCCGGTCTAAAATAAGTGATTTTTTGGTTGTTTTCACACATATTAAGAAATTCATCTTTTAACATTAATTAGTAATGAAATTGATCGTATCAACATTTACTATCTCTTCACATAAACACTCCTAACACATACTCCAACATTATTTACTCCAACGGCAATGTAGAAAAAAAATAATTATTCATTCTTGAAATCTGGAAAACTACTTATTTTGGACCACAAGAAAAAAGCAAAAAAATCACTTATTTTGGACCGGAAGAATATATAATTGATGGGGCACTAATTTGAAAATAAAAAAAAAACAAAAAGTTTAAAATAAAATAAAACACTACAAAGTGAAGGGAAAAAAACACAAGAAATTTTAAAAAAGGGCTCGATTGGATAGGGCAAAAGTAGGAAGAAATATTAAACATGACATGACAAGGCGAGTTAAGGTTAGTCTTTCCTTTAGTCACCCTACTCGTTTATCATCCTGTAATCTTTGCGTGTTCTTTTTGTATATATTTTAAATCCCTTCGTAAAAATTCTGTCTCCAGCCACTGGGATAACCTAAGCTAATCCCCATGAGGCTAGAAGCTGATTTGGGCTGAGCTTAAAAGCTCAAGTCTACGGGCCAAACATATTTTGACGATGAAAATAGCACGGGCTAACCAGTTTTTGGACTGATAATTGAAAAGTAGCCAGCGTTTGTAAAGTCATTAAAAAATAATTATTATTTTGCTGTAACACGGAAAGTTCAAGCATAATATAGTGGAGATTGGTGTACCTGTATATGAACTTCCAGCATATTATGCTGGAACTTCATCACACAGAAAGTTACAATATAATATATTGGAGATTGGAGCACATGTGTATGAACTTCCAGCATATTATGCTCGACCAGTATATTATGTTGGAATATTTTCAAGAGTTTGAACAGTATTTTCGTTCAGATTTATCTTAACATGAAAAGTGGCTAAATTTCAATTACTTTTGAAATTGTTGCTATTTTTCTAGGCAAAATACATAAGTACCCACCTAATATAGGCCCAAATCCCTCTTACACACTTTTTGAGAACATATATCACATTACACACGCAACCTTTTAAAATTGTGCCTAATACACACTACGTTTGCCAGATGGCACGTGCGTGTTTAACAAAAAAAATGTGCGCGTCAAACCAATGCATTATCTGTCCAAGTCCTTATATAAGCACACGTGTCTAAATCTTATTTTCTCCACCTATTTTTGTTAATTTAATAATTAAATAAAAAGAAAATGATATTCAAGCCCTTCTTCCCCATTTGGAGCCCCTATCATCCCCGGAAGCCGGCGACAACTGCAGCCTCCTCATCTCCTCCCTCTTGCATCTCCTTTAAGAAGATGTCATCCATAACTCGTAATACCGGCAACGACCTCAAGCAACAAGCTGAAAACTCCATTTCCAAGTCATTAGTTTCACTGTCAGTTCATGGTCGACGAGCTCAGATCTTCTCCACGTGGGTAGAGCTATCAGATCTTTCGGCAAGCTGGTGTTCTTCGTTCAAATCTGGTCTCGTTTGGTTAAAAAAAAAGGCAAAAACAACATCGACCTCCATTTTCGACCACTGTTACAGTGACAAACCCATCGGTAACAATGGTGATTCCACAACAAACAAAAAAACAAAACCTAGAAACTAAAAAAAAAAGTGAAAATTTTATAGACTAAAAAAATGGTGAAAATTCATGTTAATATTTTGTTCTGGTGGGGATTTGCCATGGTTGATGGAGTTTAGAGGAGGAGGTCNTTTAGTATTTTCTTTTTCTTCTTGAGTTAGGACACGTGTCACAACCTTATTGGCGCGTGACCTCATACATATTTTGAAAAGCTGGTCAAGAAAAAAGTGGTGTGTACTAGCTACACTTTAGAAAGGTTGCGTGTGTAATATTATTATCGTCCACAGAAAAGTATGTAAGGGGGATTTGGGCCATAGGTTAGGTGGGTACTTTATGTATTTTGCCATTTTTCTATTAACACTTGTAAATCTAGGTATATTTTAAATTCCACCCATTTTGACGACTCTATGAACTTTTCTGGAGAATATGGCGGAGCTTGTGGCAACTAAGATCAAAAGCAATCAAATCTTGATTTGTATAGTTTCAACTAATTTCTATACAAGTATACAACAAAATGTCCAGTCACGCATGTCTATCTCCGGTGTAAGAATATCGAACATATAACCTTCTACGAGCTAAGGAGCAAGTCCGAAATTGGGTTCTCCCAACTTTTTTTTTCCTTAAATATTTTTTTACACTTTTTGACAAACTTTTCCCCAAAAAAAAGAAGGAAATGAAGATGGAAATAGACGTGATTGCTGTTGGCTCTCTTGGGGCATGAAAGCTTGTAAGTTCATACCTTAATCTAACTCTAACCTAATAACATGAAACACGAAAAAACAATGGAAAAAGCATTTTGGATGGAAACAAAATGGAGATACACCAATAGCTTCCACAATTGCTCAGTTTCAGTGGGAAAAAAGTTGGTCATTTGGCAGATTTGTTATCTCCGGATGAATCAAAAAATATATGCTCTTTTAAGTTTGTCCACCTCAGTATCCACAATGGATTAATCAGGAAATTTTTGTATGTTCTTGTCCTTTCAACAACTAGACAAGTGACAGTCCGAAGCAGATTCAAAAATTTTAGTTACTACACATCAATACATATACTATCCTTTGTATGGCAAATTTAATATAAACATATTATTTGGAAAAAAAATTCAACAATAAAAGTATATATCTGGTATATACATACGCATTGAGGAGGATTCACATAACTGAACATATTTAATTTGAAAGTGACGCATCGATCGACTAACATAAATATAATTTGAAGTCAAAAATAATGATTTTAAATTCTACATTGGCCCATTTTCATCGGCTTACATAAAATGGGGGGTTGACTTTAACCCCATCTTCTATCCTCTTTAAATCAACCTCCTTTGTAATATGCTTGTAGAGAATTATTTAAACTTAAAGTGGCTTTAATATAACCATAATGGATGGCCAATGTTTTTTCAAACTTAATTTATTATAAGTACATTGCAATCATGTATGCGATTCTATTAAAGAATCTCTATAATTTTCTTTACTTTAAAATTTTTAATGTATCTTAAGAACTATTGACTATCTATTTTACAAGATGAATCTAGGCAAAATTGCCAAGAGTATGTATAACCATCAATTTGACTAAATTAACTCAATGAGATGTGAAACTAGAAGGATCAAGTCCTTTTGACTTGAAATTGGAAGGATCAATTCCTTTTGACTTGAAATAGGCTTTCTCTGCATTTGCTACCCTTAATTGAAACATTGCCCATTCATTTTCACATCTCTCCCTCACCTGCCACAACAACACACAAGTTCAATTAATCACACAGCAATTCACCTGCTTCAAGTTTTAAAGTGGAAAATAATGAAAAACAAGTAGCTAAAGAGACATATTCCAAAAGAATAAATGAACAGTCAATAGAAAGATTATATGCCCCAAGTGTTCAAACGTAACATAGAGTTACTTACCCCTTTCCATGCAGCCTTACCATCTTTTGATTGCCCCTGTATAGAAATGAATGAGGAAAGGAAAAAAGTGGTCACTTCGGTGTAAAAGCCAATAATAATTACTATGCTATATACCCAAATAAATCTACTCCATTTGGCATAAACTAAAGATGGCTTTATGTTTCCAATGTCAAGTTACACTAACTAGCATATTACATGTCACATAATATAGTTGGTTACGAAGTTGCTCGGACACGGGTGCAGATTTAGAGGTCAGATTTTTTAAAATGTAAATTCCAAAATTCGGAGATACGGATCCTATTATGGATACGGGTGCGGGGATCCGACTAAAACTAATTCAAAAATATAAAAATACAAAAATATCTCTAAACTATGAAAAATTTAGTGGAATACTTACGTGTAGCTTGTAAAGTGTGGAGTTCTTTTTTATTCTCAAGTTGTAGATAAGTAAAGGATTGATTTCCTGGATAAAATATGTTATTTTCTTCAAATTTACCCTAATTTTGGTTATGATTTCGGGAATCAAATTGTATATTGTCTCGACTTTTTCAATATGTCATGGTCAAAGTACTCAAAAGTGTTTGACCAGATCCAGTACGGATCCCCTACCCATATCCATACTAGTGTTGTGTCGACACGGGTGCAGCACCTAAACTGCCGTGTTGAAGCAACTTAGGTTGGTTACAATCACTTCATCTTGTTACCTGATTTCCAAGGGAAGGGACACTTTGATGAACAATCCATTGAGCATCTACAACTCCAATTTTCTCATGAGCAGGCTTCAAAACAGAATATGATATGCTTAGTGCCTTGATACTTTGGTACTAAAAAGACGAATACACGTGAAAGAAAGTAGCTAAGAAGACTGAATTCAGAACTTACCTCAACACATTTATGAAGTGCAAAGTCAAGTCCCCAACCATGGATCAAGTCATTCTACAAGTCACAAAACAACACAGTCAATCTCAACATAGCACAAAGTGTAAGACCTTCTCCGCGTTTAATATGCCAGCTGAGATACCTGAATCATATGCCACACACAACGCCATGCATCTCGGGAAAAGACAGGAGCCATGATCTCTATGAATCTGAAAAAAGAGAAGAGTATGTGGTAAGGACAAAGTAAGAACTGAAACAAAACAGCAAACAGGAGAAGTATTCATACGCTGAACATGGAGGCAAATGGGAGTCTGGACACACACCAGGTTTCTCTTCTGCTATCCTGATCAACAAGTACAAAACAGTTAAAAGCGCAACAGGAGTCGCTAGATAAATGATATCATGGGATTCCAGGCTCTTACATGTGAATTTCACCATCACTTCTTCTCTTTGTCATTTGCCACGTTGTTCCTTTCTTGGGATCTAAACCTGGCTGTGAAATTTCCAAACCATGCTTCTTGACAAGTCTAATGTACCTGGTGTTGGACAGGCGAATTTAGAAAAACTAAGATATTGTGTCGTTAAACACAGGAAATTACACAAAATACTTACTCCTTGGCATCAAAATGCTCAACTCCTAGGTCTTCATCCCAGATAAAAATATAGTCATATGGGGCGACAATGTCTGGATGCAGAAACCTTTTTGCATACCACCTTATAAAGAGGTAAACTTCTTGTCACTAACATGGTTTAAAGTTGATCACAGGTAAAGTTCTTGTCACTAACATGGTTTACTTACCATTTTGTTTGTTTCCGAGCACTCACATGGATGGCTCGTTTTGACCACTCGAATTCATCCCATTCAGTCGTCTTACCATCATAGTGAAAAAGAAGAATTGTAAAGTCGTCTGAGAACTGCACAGGAAAAATGAGTGAGGAGGAATTGGGAACAGAGAGGAGGAAGGGACCGATAAAAGGAAACAGACTGATATACCTTTTTTACATTAGCATCAACGTTATACTTCTGATTAATACCAACAGTAAAGGTTACCAGATATTTTGGCTTGCTGGGTGGTAGGTCCTGCAGATAGAACATGATAAGAGTATTGGTCTATAAAGTTAAGCAAACATGATACAGAAGTTGTAACAGAACACTTACCTCATTGGGTTTTCCCCACAATCTCCGGGTATAGTAGTCGGACTCAGAAGCAATGATCTCTGGAGGTAATCTTTCTGCCCCTCTTGGGTTTGATTCAACCCAAATCTGGTTAGAATAAGGATTAAGACTATCAGATAGAAAAATGTGATTATTATCTTAAGATTGTGATGCATTGTTAACAGATGCAATGCAGGATAGGCTAGAATTTGGAATGTTTAGCTTCGGTAATAGTGTTGATGACCGCCCCCCCAGGCTTTGGTCTAGCTGTAACAGAGCAATGCATGATGTGTGGATTAAGCGGATGCATTGGTTCGAACCATGCCACAAACAAAGTCAGGTATTTAAGTTGAGAAAGGTAAACGGGCAGGCCCATTTTTCACCATGTTTCAAACAGTGTGCCACCGGCGGGGATTTGCAGAAAATAATAGAGTTGATGACCATATATTCAACTCTAGCAGGGATCTATCGGAAAACCATGTCACTCAATGTGCACACAAACTCCTTTTAAAGGAGAATAGCAAGAATAAGTTCCTTTTGTATTCTTAGAAGGCATTTTGCACAAGTGTCTTCACATTTGATATCTATAAAATTGTTAGTTTTGGAAGAAGTGCAGAAAGAAGAAAATACCTTCACTTGATGTGTACCATTCTGATTTTTGATCGAAGAATCAATGTTATTTCTGTCTCTAGCAATTGGGAAGTTGCTCACAAACATACTGGTTGTAATATTTAGCTGCCAAATTGGAATCGAAAGAAGTTACTTAATTGGACGTATATGAAATTACAACTACTGCACGAATCGAATAAGACCACCATATGATTGTATGAAAAAGGAAGGCGTTATCCATACCTTGGTTAATGAACTAGTAGGAAATGAAATTCCAATGAATAAGCCAAAAATGACACCGCAACATATGGAGACAATAAGCCTCATAGTTTCAGCTGGGTTTAAGCAATTGGAGCTGCACAACATACTTCAAGAGTTAAAGAAACTATTATGGGCTTCTCGTGTGGAGGTTGGTTGAAGATGATGTGATACAAGTAAAGGTTTATTCTTTATTCTGGCATCGATCAATCTATATCTGGGGATAACACACTATTTCAATGCGCGCTGCGAGCAAATCAAGGCAAACTCTGAATACTAGATATGACCCGCAAAATAACAGAGGTCAAGGTCCGCAAGTGAGATGATGGGGGATAAGCTTCATCATCGAGAGGGAAATAGTCCGGATCACCAGCTCCAAAAAAATTCCTCATACACTAGATTGCCCCCAACAGATTTTTATACAACTAGAAATCTTAAAACCTCAGCAAAGATCCAAACCTCATGCTCAGTTCTGCAAAGTCAAGAAGACATTTTGTGCATCCGCACTCAACTCACGTAACTTTACAAATCCACAAGCAACTAGAAAATTGGTCATGTGCCTCACTTAACTTTACAATCCTCAAGGAACTAAAAAAAAGGTCATGTGCCTAGCTTTTGACTATAGCGACTTGATCAATAGATGAAGGCACTAGGCTAATTTCAATTCCTCAATTTTGTGTCTCCGAAAACAAGCCATTGTGAGTCTTATTTGACTCATCCCTTACATTCAACCTATTCTACAAATTCACTCCTCTTTCAATACAATACAACCATACTTTCTTGAATTTAAAGGTATAACAATATGTATAACTTAAAAAACATATTCTTCTCTGCACAAGTTAGCTCCAAAACAGACAAAGTGTCATAGCAAGCTCCTATCAAAACTTTTAACACAAGACACAAAAGCACAAAGTTCAAAAATAAAAGTCAACTCTTGCCAGCAAAATCAATATAACCATAAAGACACTCAATCACTATAACCATAAAGACACTCAAAGGTTACACCTTCTAAACTTTTAAATGCTAAAGGCAGAGGCTTTTTTAAGAAAATACATGTAATAATATATAGTTGCTATTATTATATATTTATTGACTCAAAAATTTTTGCTGACAAAAAAGTCAAATATTATCTTTTTCTTTTAAGCATAGTTTTCAAAAATATTTTAAATATATGTTTTAAAAGTAAGAAATTGATATTCGAATTCAATTTAAAATTTTATACATTGGTGGCCTTCAATGGTTCAACCTTAAACCTACATTCTTTAGATGGCGAATGAAGTACTATTTACGTCAGTAATTACTAAATTATTGAATCTTCTAGTACAAATAAGTTGGAAAGAATATCCATATTTATGCTAAAAGAATATCAACACTTAGATCTAAGCACGTACCTCCATCTTCTTAATTAGGCCAAAGGTTCAATGTTCTATTCTTTTCTTTCAACAATAAATAATTATTTATATTAATTAGCTGGATGAAAAATTTGTCCCAATGGAACAGAAAAATTACATTTTTCCTATTATCTTTCAAACTGCTGATGCATAAGGTAAAATGAAGTATAGAAGCAAAATTTGAGTCTTTCCCAAAATATTCTTCCTCACAATTTTGAACAGTAAATTAGAGAAAAAAGAATAAGCTAATAAAGAAACTATCGCCATGGCTGTGGGAAGAGGATTTTTGGGAACTTGTAGCAACTAGTATCGAGATCGAGATCGAGAGAGAGAGAGAGAGAGTCTGTGTATTTGCTAGTTTATCCAATAAAAGTCCCAGCAATGTAAGAAGTTTCATCTGGAGCACTGATCTATACAACTTGGCGAATTCTGTCCATGTAACTGGTCCATAGTCGATAAAATATTGTGAGCAACACAACAGATAATAGACCATAAAAGGGAACAGCTACTACGCTATAATATATACAAAAGAGTCTTCTTGCATTGTTTTTTCTGTAGAAGGCTTGAACAACGAGAGAAAGCAGTTGACAAAGCCAAAAGGAGCCTTCTAGTATCATTAGCTATACCTTCCACATTTTGCTCAGTTCCAGTAGGAGAGAAGTTAGTCATTTGGTAGATTTGTGTCTATAGATGAATCAGAAAAGTAAATGCTCTTTTAAATTTTTCCATCTCAGCATCCGCAGATGATTAAGCAGGAAATTTGTTGTATGTTCATGTTCTTTCAACAACTGAATGAATGACAGTGGAGTTCCCAGTATTTGTTAATCCTCATGAGAAGGGCCATTTACGACAGATGAAGAAGATAAAGAGGGAAACCAGAGTTCTATACGGGTTCCCCCAGTTCCAATTGCAGCATCTGTTAATCTTGGTGAGATCACCCGCACGACACATCCATAACTCTCCAATATTTCTCGTGAAACAGTTAGTCCAGCCACAAAATTCCATGTCATGTTATCCTCTACCTTATCTTCAGAAAATAGATCTGCCCCAAAAGGTGCTAGAGAGTGCATCTGTGTCTATACAAAAAGAGGAGAAAATACTTCAGTACTAACTAGCACACAAGCCAGATGATAAAATCAATCATGAGCATATAGTTCATATCAATGCCCATCATCTGTCTATTTTCAAAGTTATAAAATCCTTTACTATTATTAAGTTCCTATTTTCATTTTATGTCCCACAATGTATCATCTTTGTATCAAGGCATTGTCTCAATGATCACGATATAGAATAGAGTTCATGACACCTTACCATATAGTGCATATCAAGGCCATCATCATCAATTATAACAAGAGCACCCCCTGCAGGTGCTCCAGTGGCAACAATTTCAACCTTTCCACCAGCTTGTATACGCAATAAGGCACCCTCGATCAGATTACCCAATGCCTGTCGTAAAGCAGGCTCTTCAATGGGCACCTGTAAAGATCTCGGAACCTCAGAAAGTAAAACAGCTCTCCTCTGCTCGTGCGCTAAAGGCGCCACTGCTCCCACCAAATCCACCAGTACATCAGAAACACTGCATGGTCTTTCGGGCGAAGAGGTGAAGAGGAAAAAGACCAACCAAAATGAAAATGAAAAATAAAAGGAATTATTAACAATCTCCAAAACCAAAGAGTTGTTCCACAAGACAGCACACAATCAAAACTCATCGTTTGGCATCAAACTAGGAAAACAAAAAAACGGCCATCCGAAGCTGCCTAAGTGAGTATTCATTAGACTTGTCAACCAATAGAAGAAGCATCTATACAGGGCAACTTTAAGGAAGAAACAGGAGGGAAAGGAGAGCCATCGAGCAAAAATCTCGAGAAGTTGATGGCTGAAGAAAGAGAATGCGAAAGATTGAAATTCTTTAGTATGTTATTATGCTGTCATATGCGTTAGCATTTTTTGAAGTTGACATAATGCAATTTGTACTTTCCAGATCCGTAGGTCTCTAAACCGAAAAAAAGTTTGAGAAACAAAAGTTTACCTGATTCCTTCCTGGTGTAAAGGTGCTAGAGCAAGAGGTGGCATTGGCATTTCTAGATCCTTGGATTTTAAAGAGAGAGATTCTAGCTTCTCAGACAAGTTACTGGATAACTGAGACCTCACCGACTCACGACCAGGATGAGTTGATTTAGGCATCTTTTTCAATGTTTCTTCACTATAACGCATTATATTAGCCTGAAAAATGTATAAGCCCATAATATTCAACAATTTATCTTTGTTATTCTCAAAATCACTTGTAGGCAAGTCAACAACTAAGGCAAACAAGAGCCGGCGAAGTCTAGATGGACCTTCTTAATGTGACCTATATCTGTTGCAATGTTTCTAATTGATGTTTGAGAAGTTCAATCCTCTAGTGTTACTATTATCCTCCAGGGTTGAGAGATTTTAGTTCATGACTAGAATTTATTTCCTCTTTACATGGTCTCGTTGGAACTCCCAACTTGCTCTTAGTATTGAATGACTCAAGTTTGTACCCTTTCAAGTTTCCCAGAAAATTCTAGCTCTTTTAAACTGAATTAGAGGCTTGCTTCAATCTTTCTCCTTCCTTTCTCAGTCAAAGTCACATATAAGAAGTCAAGAACAATGAGAGAGAGGCGCAGTTGGTGAAGTACCTTTGTTAGGGAAACAGCATCCTGGAGTCCCTTAAGAGTATCACTCAGGCAATCACCTTGCTCCAAGATATCTTGAACAATATCATATGAAATCTGCAATAGGCCATATGTGCAGATTAGTTCATCATTAAAGTAATTGATTAAAAAAGTCCCACGAAAAGTTACAATTATTTGGGGGCAAAAAGAAGATGAAGCAGGATAAAGAAAAGGTTGTGGGTGTAAATTTCTTGAGAAAAATACCTCACTCTTTCTAATCTGAGAAGATAACATCTTACTCAAAGTTCGAATGCTGGAAAGAGAACCCCGAATCTGCACATTAAAGATTCATAAAAAATCTATTATGTTCTGAAATCTGTATGCCGTACATGTCGACCACCTTAAATTGATGGCATATATGGGTGCAGCTGCAGTGCAAATCTTACTTGCTCAACCAAATTGCTCATCCTGATATTATTTTGCCAGGTGGACTGTTGGAGCAAAATTGCTTTCTGACAAGGACAAAATAAGTTAATTCTAAAACAAAATTATATCAATGCAAGATTTATGATGAAATTATTGTGCAAAACTGGAAAAAAGAGAAAACAAGAAAACTAAATAACAAAATGCTCAAAGAAGAAATTTCATGGCAACAAATACGAAAAAGTTAGAACTGGTGTTATATCGTCAATATTTTAGCCATTTTTTAGATGATACTATTACGAGTTTTTGGATGTTATAGTAATTGCATATTTCAAAGAAATATTTATACATAGAGGGATGCAAATGAATTAATTGAATTCTAGACATAATGTATACTTAGCACCTTTTTCATATCAGTGTTCGTACCTGATCCATGACATAAGCCATTGCAAGTGAACGGGAAATATTTATAGCATTTAATCTTTGCTCAGCTGTGAATTTTAACATCTCAAAGGAGTGGTCAGTTGAAGTTTGGATATTCAACGATTTCAAATCCATGCTAGGAGGCAAGGAATAAAACTCCTCCTGGCCAGGCCATGCTTTCACATTAAACCCACCCTTATCAAATGCAGTTCTTGGGAGTTCCGCAACTAAAAACCCAACAATAAATGGGTGTTTTACCATAGGGAACACCATAGCTCCAAGCTCAGGAAGTAATTCTGCCTAAGATGAATAAGACTACTCAAACACAGTAAAGTCATACATTCAGTGTAAAACAAACTTGAAGGAGAAACTGATGTACCTCTTGTCTCGAAAGAGCTGCTTCAGCCGCTCTTAAGCCCGCAGGAATGCTAAAGTTACCAGTTAGAATCACAAGATCAGTCGCATTGACATGTGGATGTAAAGTAATGCGACGCAACTCTAGCTGGTCCATTACATAACTACCTGCTGGTCTTACATAAACCTGCAATTCACTAAATTAGCACAAGGAAAGTAACTAAAAAGGCAAAAGTGTTTCAACCTTATATCACCAAAAGAGCCAGGTGAGGGGGAAGTACTTTTCTCTTTAGTTTGGTTTTGTCCTATTGGTCTTCTATCATTTTGAAAATCCTAAAGAAAAATAGGTTAAAAATAGGCTAGAGACCCCGCTGTTCACAACACATGAAGCCCAATCAAACATGGAAGATGTTTAGAGTTATCAAATGATACATCGTGAAATAGAGTTTAAACAAAGTATTATAGTAAGAATAGATAACTTGGTTTCATTTATTGGTCCGTATTTTAGTGTTATAGGATAATAAAATGGTTAGAAATCCCTTTTTCTTTTCAACCTTTTCCTGATACTGGTAGCAATGTAATAATAAAAAGCACTAAGGCATGCAAGCCATATGTACATGGAGGGTTGGATCAAGTATGATCCACCTTAATTACAAAAAGCCTAACATGTCTACCAAAGATTCTTACTTTCTACCTGACTTCTTTACACCAAAAATGAAACAAAAGGATACAATT